CTGCAACTTGGCAGACTTCGGCAAGGCCGCAGAGTGCTCTCTTGCGCCTATTATTTGAGGCGAAAGTCTCGAAGACTGTCAGCACTGTAGTGTTGTGTTCTATGGGATGTTGCTCTGCGGTGTTTTTTATGAGGAGATCCTCACCGCTCTTGGCCACCTGCCGAAGTATCCAACATGCTCTAAGCTTGTGTGTTGGTACGGCATCTGGTGTGGTGTGTATTTTGCATGGGCTATCGAGCCATCCCTCCAAAACCGTTCCTTGCCCTGTAGTGGGCTTCGATTTCTTCGTGATTGGATCAAGCGACCTACAAGGGTACACCCTTTTTGTTCGGACGAGGGGCTTAGTGAGAGCCAGTGCATCCCAAAAGGCTGCCTGAGTTTTCCAGGTGCTTTCCATCGCGCAGTACTTCTGTACTATGGTCGCCAAGTCATTGAAGCTTGATACGTGATGGCGATTTATGGCGTTAAGGAGTCCCTTGTCCGTGCATTTTTTGCAGAATAATGAGATTGCGTCTTCATCGCGACAGTTCTTGACCTTGTCCTTGACAAGGAGGAATCTGGCCCAAAAGTGATGTACCGTCTCTTGGGACTGTTGTCTGATGTGGGAAAGATCGCATGAGTCTGGGTGGGTGGGTGGAGTTAAGTCTGAACCCTGATCCGATCTGTGACCCAGAGCTTGAGGAGTTTCCGAACTTAATAGTTCGGGTTCCAGGATGTCAACCAATGTTTCTGGCCCACAGTCCGACTCTAAACTCGGAGTTCAGGGCATGTCTTCCCGTGGGCAGGTATCCGGCTCGGTGAGCTTGGAAATCCGGACATATTTCGTCCTTAATATAGGGGAACAGTTGTTGCATTGCTCCTCCACCACCGCTATCTGATGAGTGATCGGCGAAGATTCAATCTCTCCTTGATCGGATTTAAGCCCAATCCGATCATAGTCCGTAGCAACTCCCAAAGCGGCGATGCGATCCAGGAGCCCGTTTAAGGACGATAACTCCGCCGCATCCATCTGCTCGACGTATTTCGAGCTGACGTGGAGATGATTTTCGATGACCCGAGAGGTCATTGTCGGCCCGACGGCCGAACGGGCGATCATAGTAAAGTCGCCCAGCCGGAGGGTTTGGCCTGAGGCCAGGGCTCCCCCGGAGATGATGTTGTCCTTGATAACAAGGCGAGCCATCAAACCTATCTTCGACGTCACAGTGGAACTCTCAATGAAAGCACCAATGTCGGTGTCAAAACCGGCGGATCTCGGGTAGGGGGTCCTGAACTGTTTGTCTAAGGCTAATGGTAACAGGAGGCGGGGGACACAATGTTTACCCAGGGTCGAGCCCTCTCGATGGAGGTAATACCCTACTTCCTGATTGATTGATCTTGATGATATGAGTATTACAAGAGTTGATCTACTATGAGATCGTAGAGGCTAAACCCTAGAAGCTAGCCTATGATTATGATTATTGTTGTCCTACGGACTAAACCCTCCGGTTTATATAGACACCGGAGGGGGCTAGGGTTACACAGGGTCGGTTACAGAGAAAGGAATCTTCATGTCCGAATCGCCAAGCTTGCCTTTCACGCAAAGGAGAGTCTCATCCGGACACGGGACAAAGTCTTCTATCTTGTATCTTCATAGCCCAACAGTCCGGCATACGCATATAGTCCGGCTGTCCGAGGACCCGTTAGTCCAGGACTTCCGCATACGCAACGGCGGTATTTGGTGTCAAATTCTTCAGATCGATTCAAGGATTCAATAGCGGCGAGTGCGGCTCCGGGACGCTGATCCTTAGGGACACACGCACAAAGACTTCTCGGGTATCATTGGCAAGGTCAGGCCGGCTCCGGTATGGGAGCGGCGATAGCGACGCGTCGTGGCTCGTTTTGGCCGCGGTAATGGTCGTTCGGTGGTTCATGGACCTCGATTTAATTTTTATTATGTCTGAGGTGTTTTATACTTCTGGTAAATCTTTATAATAGATCTGATCTTTTTGTAAAAAAAAATGGACAAATGGCTGCAGATTATGGACTCCAAGGGGAGGGAGGTTCCCCGGCCAAACTCAACATGAAGAAGAGCAGAATTGCCCTGATGAGCGGTTCGGGTACTCTTGAGGCCATGGCTCCTAGGATTGCTCTCATCCTGGCGGTGTGATGCGGTATCTCCCATAGTTGCTCCTTACAGCATGTTCGCACACTCTGATGCAAGATAACTGAGGAAGTTGTTTCATTTCAAGTGAATGGGACATGCGAGGAGCCTTTTGATCTAAAAGTTAACCAAAATAAATTTGACATGGCCGTGAGCAATAGGCTAGATGTCGTAAGCAATGACCACCACTCCATTAGTCCATCCATGCTTCATTGTTTCTAGAATCACATGGAACAATCTTGTGATGTCGTTAACCATGCATGACAGGGAGCTTAAAGTCCACCGTACACTGCACGCAGCACGGGAGACACAAGATCCTACGACGCTACTAGTAGTATCACTCCCTTCATTTCATAAGGTAGTGCGCCCACGCTTTCTGAGATCAAAGTTTGACTGGAAATTTAACCAACGAGACCGACTGCGACGGAAGCAAAAATTATATCACTGAATTCATATCGAAAATACAAATTCATTGGTATAGTTTTTGCTCCCGCCGTAGTTGAATCTCGGAAAACGCGCACGCACTATATTGTGAAATGAAGGAAATAATATTTTTCCCAGAGGAAACTTGATGTCAACACATGACTGTGTGACCGAAAGCTGGATCGAACGATCTCTACCTTGGAGTGGACTTTTGGCGCCGGTGCAGACGAGAGGAGGGAGCAACAGAGACTGCAACACCACATGCCCGGATTCTGTTATACTCGGAAACAGTTAAACATGGGTGCATGTGGGCAGATTAACAACAAACCGTCGGCCGGTTTCACCAAGTGGCCTCATCTGCATTCAAGGACCCCACGGAATGGTTCACGTTTCCACGTAATTTTGTCGTGACAAGTGTGAGGGATCCCTTCCTGGCCCTTATCACATAGTACTCCGGCCGACATGATGGGCTGATCATGAGCATGCATGGTTCCGTACCATGTCATGAGTACTGGCTAAAACGTTGCTACGTTCCAGACAAGATCAGACCAATCGCAAAATTAGCTTGCCGGGGAAGAAAACTAGTATGTAAGCCTCAGAAGAAAGAGGCCAAATTCCTTTGCTTGTCTCGCTATTTTCAATTTGCTTGCGAGCTCTTATTTCTCAAATGTTTTTTGCAGCATTAAAAGCGGAGTACAGAAAAAATATTTGGGTATAAAAATATAATGCCCCCATTTCTTTTGCACAATATCTCAATATCAGTCGACTGATTTTGGGATTTGGGTCAGTCGATTTTGAGAAGGAAGAAGGAAGCGCCGACGGAGATGAAGGAGACGGCGAGGCTGCCGATGCTGGGGAAGAACAACCCAACTATCTTAGGATGGTGGGTGCAGGTTCGCGGGAGAAGCAACCCCACTATCTATCTTAGGCTGGCGGGTGGGGAGTTGCTTCGGATTTTTTTGGTGGTCGCCAGGCTTAGAGGGATGGCCCGCGCCGCCGGCCGCGGGCGGCGGAAGCAAGCGGCTAGACTTGGGCTAGATTGGGCGGGGGTGATAGAGGAAGAAGAGAAACAACGGTTGGAGGCTGAAAATAAGCTGTGTCCGTTGGATTTTGATCCAACGGTTGAGAAAGGAGGAGGAAGATCAACTGCTTAATTTTTTTTTTCCAGGCGACCGACATAGAGCCGATCCCTTACTTTTGAAACTGGTTGTTTAAGTACTACTCCTACTACTTAAATGATAAACCATAGAGGGACAGAATGCCGCTAATTTGCATCCAAACGAATCTCAGCAAAAGAAAAAGGCCTCTCAATGTCAGACTTATAAACGATGAAATCTGAACGCATTCAAATCCAAAGGTTTGACCCCGTAATCTAGCAGGGATCGCGAGTATAAAATTGAGGTCATACCGATTAAGAATAGCACTAGCCGTACATGTAGAAACAGCTGCCCTAATAGTCCAATGTCGAGGCCCTAGAGTGACAGTTTTTTCAATGCCCTAGTGGCTACTAGTGTGTGCATGGCAGTTGACTTGCCGCAAAGCAAAAGAGTTTCTTCACGTAGATTCCAATCAACCGAGCAAGACAAAATTAAGCTCGAGGCCCGCGCGGGAGAAAAACTAATCCTCCCGTAAATCAAGCCAAAATTACCTACCTATGGTGCTAAATTCCCCTAGCCCTCACCCCTAACCCTAACCGCTAGTACCTGCCAATGGGGACCAGGCAGTAACAACGAGCGCAAGTGGAGTAGTAGTAGCTTCCATTTCTTGGCGGGTATCAGTTTTTTTTTTTTTAGGTAATGGCGGGTATCAGCTGGGCTGAGCAGCGCGTCAAGCGGCTCAATCCAAGGGCCCGCGTCGTGGTTCGGTTGAGGCCTAGGGCTAGGGGCTTGCTTACCGATCCAATGACCCTCGGTAACCACTCCATCGCCAGTAATCCCCATGTGACTCAGAGCGGCCGAGTCTCGTGAGCTCACGTGACGCCTCCGCCTCCGGCTGGTCGAGTTGGTTTACTTCTGATCGAAATGTTAATGCTCATCGCTCGTACGTACTGTACGTCTCCCTCCCAGCTGATGATTGTTTAATGTTGATCCCAAATGATTAAGACGTACTTGCACGGATCAGTGGAACCTACTAGGGCACAGTGGGCCGGTTCTGCTGCTTGCCAGAGAAGAAAATGTAAAAGGAAATAGTCGGCGGCCCCCTGCAGATCGGCCAGCGGAATCCTTCGAAAACGTAGCGGAGCAGAGACTTTTTTTCATTTTTTGGGCGGGAGAAAAAGAGTCAGGAATCGTGCATGGCTTGGCATGGCATGCATTTAAGGCGCTGGGTGCAACAGGGCCGTCGACCGCCTCGGCGGGCACGTGAGTCCTCGCCGGGCTTCGCGCGCGCCGATCCCGTGCCTCAATCGCCGCATCGCTATTTAAGCACCGCCGACGCCATGGCTTTTCCACCTCCTCACTTCACTCGCCTCCCACGTCGCCTGCCGATCGAGTGCACCCACCCACCACAGTGCCCTGTGCCCGAGGCCATTCCGTACGCACTGGAGATGGCGCGCAGGAGCGGAGTCTTGTCGCGCTTGGCCGTCGTCGTCGTCGCGGCCTACTGCCTCGCCGCGGCGACGCCTGGGGCTGCCGACTGGATGAGGGGCTCCGCCACCTTCTACGGCGGGAGCAACGCCGCCGGCACCATGGGTAAGTGACGATCCACGACTACTCCTCGCTTTGCGTATTTGCATTGCACTTTTGCGCGCCGTGGATATGTACTGATCGAGGATGGCGTTGTAACTAATGGCAGGCGGCGCTTGCGGGTACGGGAACCTGTACTCGACGGGGTACGGGACGGACACGGCGGCGCTGAGCACGTCCCTCTTCAACGACGGGGCGGCGTGCGGGGAGTGCTACCAGGTGCAGTGCGACCAGGGCAGTTCCCCGAACTGCAAGCCGGGGGTGACGGTCACCATCACGGCCACCAACCTCTGCCCGACGGACTACTCCAAGCCCAACGACAACGGCGGCTGGTGCAACCCGCCCCGCAAGCACCTGGACATGGCGCAGCCCGCGTGGGAGCGCATCGGCGTCTACCGCGCCGGCATCGTGCCGGTCCTGTTCCAGCGGGTGCCCTGCTCCAGGAGCGGCGGCGTGCGGTTCACCATCAACGGCCACAGCTACTTCGAGCTGGTGCTCATCACCAACGTCGGCGGGCCGGGGTCGATCAGGGCGGTGCAGATCAAGGGGTCCAGGACCGGGTGGACCACCATGTCCCGGAACTGGGGCGCCAACTGGCAGTCCAACAGCTACCTCAACGGCCAGTCCATCTCCTTCGCCGTCACCGCCACCAACGGCCAGAAGGTCGTCTTCCAGGACGTGGCGCCCAGCAACTGGGGATTCGGCCAGACCTTCACCAACTACGGCCAGTTCTACTAGCGATTCCTGCGCGCCGCCGTGCGTGCACGCCGGCGCCGGAGCGCTCCCGCGCCTTCGTTTCCGTTTACGCTTTTCGATTTCGCATTTGGGAACTTAAGTAAGATTAGCTGCATTCTCATGGATGGGAAGTGGTAGGTAGGTAGCTAGGTGCCGCGCGTAGGGTGGTTTGCATGGCTGAGGTGCCTGATCGATCAATTACCCGCCGTGCTTGCCGCCTTCCTTGCGATGACCGGCTGATGTGCTAGCTGAAATGGCGCCCCGATCCTCGCTGCAAGGCGCGGACTGTTTACTGTTGACCACCGATCCATTGATGATTTTAATTTATATAATAGAATGTGATGGCCATGGTTTCTGACTTTGACCAGTTATATAAATGCATGTGCGTGATATGCTCTTCACGAATGTGCCCAAGGGTAAAATGGGGGTGGACATCGAAGTGTGGTCTGAAGTAAACGATGAATTGGATCACTACGTTATTACATGTGCCTAAAGTGTCCTTGAGTCGAGAACCAATGTACTCCCTCCGTCCATGAATAAGTTGTACTTCTATCTTTTTTTCCTAAGTCAAAATTTTAGAATTTTGATCAATTTTAATGAGAAAAAGTAGTAGCATATATGACATCAAATTGATATATCATGTAACTATATTTCAAAATGAATCTAGTGATACTAATTTAGTGCCATATATGCTGCATGCAGCAATTTAATGCGGCTGAAACTCTAAATATGTGACCACTAAATAACAAAAAAAATACATGCAATGATGAATTTTCTCTTAAGCCTTGCATGCAGCGATCTGATGCACCTGAAACTTTGAATATGTGATGGAGAGCTATAAAAATAAGACTTATAAAACGGAAAAATTAAGATAAGCCCTCTAAACCGAAAAGGAGGGAGTAACAGATGGTTCCGCTCAACTAACGTAATGGTTGGACCTTTTGAACTCGTATTCCTTGTGGAAAACTATCTTTTCATGTTTGGATACCACTTTTCATATTATTGGCACTCACAAGTACTTCTCTGTATCAAAATATAAGATATTTTTGCAGTTTCAGTTGAACTAAAAAAATATTTACATTTTAGTAGAGAGGTAGAACATCCTTCATTTCTCATATGTTGCATCTCCTCTCTTGGGTACACAGGGACAAAAGACCACGAATGTTGGACCTGCCCTTTATGCATAGTCATAGACAGGTGTCGCAAATCACTTTTGAATAAAACCCCGAGGCAATATATATTACTCCCTCCAATCCAATCAATTGTCGTGGCTTTAGTACACCTTTGTACTTAAGTTGTACTAACGCTATGATAATTATTATCGATCGGAGGGGTAAATAAAATCAGCAGTTACAAAAAACAGCCTTAAAAGAACATGGTATTAGTTCTCAATGAAATAAGCACCTTTTTTTCTTCTGCGCCCATCGCGGCGTGCTGTGCAGTTTTATAATGTTCTTGAATTCTAAAATGTTGTAAAAACTTGAGATTTTTTTAAATCCTCATGAATTAAAAATATATATAATACGAAAAAAGAAGAAGAAAGACAGTAGAAAAACTGAATGGAAGAAACAGAAAAAAGAACCCGGAAAAATCACTCTCGAAAGTGTTCGGAGACCACGTCCTGCAAGTTTTGGGCCATCACATATTTGTTCGCTCCTTGTGTGATTGTGCGACATGTTGTCATCGAGAGCGACAAATAGGGTATTCCATTTATTTGTCGCATCAACTATATATCGCCCATTGTGAGTTGGAATCAATGCCCGCCTATACGCACATGCTCATGAGACCCATACCATCAAGCGTTCTTTCGATTTCGCTGACAGTTCCCGTTTTTTTTCTTTGCTATACTGTATGTCAGCAGCATAGACCAACACAATTGTTTCTTCAGCTTTTAGTTAGAGCACTTCTTTGGGTCGGAGCACTGGTCTTCAGTGATGTGATGGCAGTCTATGTCCTGTTTGTTTTCTTTTCCATTTTTATTTCTTTATGTTTACTTAATTTTTCCCTTTTTGTTTTTATTCTTCTGTTCGGTTTTTCACTTTGTCCTGCTTCCATTTTTTGTCTCTATTTTATTGCCTTTTATTGTCCTTTTGTACATAAAAATCTTTGACATACGTGATGAAAGTTTTGTAAATGCAAAATGAACATTATGTAGTGAATTGACACTGAGCATTGCTAAGCTACATGTTAAAAATATTTTAACACAATGAACATTATTTAGACACAAGATGGCCATTTTTTTAATTAACACTGAGCATTGTTATATACATGATGAATATTTTTTAAGACACGCTGAACTTTTAAAAATACACCCTTTTAAAAATCATAATGAACATTTTTTTAGATACATACCGGCTTTTCTAAAAATATGCAGTGAACATCTTTTAACACATGATGAACACTTTTTCAAATCCATGACGGATATCTTTTAACCCATGCTGAATAACTTTCAAACTGTCAAATTTTTTTAATGCACTAGAAATTTTGTAATACGTGGTCTTCTTTTATAAAATCAGCAAAATAAGTATTTTATGTAAAAAAGCAAAATAAATGCATTTTACCATATATAGACACTCCCTTGATTTGTGGCATTAACTTTCGGAGCGGCCTTGCCTCGCTTATAGCGGGACACAAGCTCATCCCGAAACATGTTCCGCTAATAATTGGTCGGCCCAAGAGAAAGTGCATGGATGAACCAAGGTACATGTGAATCAACTTCGAAAAACACATTTTGAAATGCTAAAAAAATCTGAATTTTTTTTTTGCACGGTTCATGTACATGTTCTATGGTTGTGCATGAAGTTTCACGGGAAAATAACTTTCTTTGTGGCCTCAGCAAAAAAGACAAAAAATTGTGTCATGAAGCGCTATTTAGAAGCTATGAAATTTGTCTTTTTATCACAAACAAAATAAAAAGACATTTTCCACAAAGCTTTGTGCCGCGCATACACATTTGTGAACATGTATGAGTGCAATTTTCTTTTAGTTATTTCAAATTTTAATAAATGCTTAAAATGCATTTTTTTAAAAAAGTGGGTGCATATGCCCATGCGTGCAAGACGTGCCCTCTCTCGGCCCAAGTAGCTTATTGTAAGTTACTTATCATTCATCTCAGTATTTTCATTTGTTCGTTTTTTTACTTTTGAAAATATTTATGTACATATTAAATTGGAATTAAAAACCATGAGTTTAAAAAAATTATGAGTCTAACAACATTTTAAGTTTAATTTATGAAAAACATCGATAGCATCAAAAAATGCTAGGACATTTAAAAAAATAACATTTAAAAAAATGATGCATGTACAATTTAATAAAATGAAACTCTCTCAGTCCCACAATATAAGAAAACGTTTCACACGATCCCAATAAAGTAAGTTAAAATTATGAAAATATCCACACATTTGAAAAATAGGTTAGATCAATTTTTTTCAAATACTTATCGCATAGTTTTAACAAAATGTTGTGACAGCCTGATTTTTGGCCCTTTCTTTTTTTTCTGAGGTTTTTGCGTGAGTCTTCTTTTTCCGTGGCTTTGTGGTCTAGAAACTGAAGAAGATGACATCTTGTTCCTTTCCAGAGTGGCTTGTCATACCCAAATCTTTCTCTAGACCCTGTCATTTTCATCCTAGCCCAAATCTCAATATTCTTTTTATTGGGAATATTCCTTTTCTATTAAAGGAATTGTCATTTTTGCCCTAGGTTGTGAAGCAACCTATATTTCCCTCACTCCTAAAATTTCCAAATAATTCTCATAAATTTTTTGGGTCATATCTTCCTCAAATGTAGCAAAATATTTCACTTGTCATGTTTTCTATCATGCTCAAATAATTCCTTTTCTATTCTGTCATGTGTGGTAGGTTGTGAAGGAAGTGCTATTTTCCCTTATCCAAATGACCTCAAACTTTTTGGACACCTTTTCATGTCCAAATAATTGCCCTGTGCCAAAGTTCAACTTTATTTGCCTAGCCAATCTTCCTCAGTGATTTCTCAAAGTTTCTGTCAGGCAGAAGCCATTGCGAAGGAAGTACTAGCTAGGAGTATCCAAATGAGTTGAAATTTTGCACACTCCTTCATGTGATCATATTAACCCTCTCCACACATTTGTAGCCCCATCCAATCATCTATGTGATCACATGATCAAATCTATGATTCTGGCAATATTTTCAGGTTGTGAAGCAAGTGTATTTTATATTGCTCCAGAAATTCTGATAAATTACCCGATCATCATCCTACCATAAAACATCTCTCCACCCAATTTGGGATCATTTCATTAATCCATTTGCCCTCCAAATTTTTTGCAAGTTTCTGGTCAGTGGAAATGTTTGTGAAGTACCATTTTGGTTTATCCAATTGGTATGAAACCTTTTGCAACATCTTTATATGATCAAATAACTCTGCCTTGCCCAAGTTGAGCTTAAGTTGACACTCCATGTGAGTGCATCAACCAAATCTTGATTTTGGACCAGACTATGTAGATGTGAAGCCACTGTATTAATTCTTGATCCATTTCCCTCCAAAATGCCCAGGATTATAGTCCTTACATAGATAAACACCCCAGACATAACATTTGACCTATAGCATCTCTCTGTTGATCACACTTAGTTGATCAAGTTTACTGTAGTAAACTTCAGAGGTTGCTTACCATTTAACCACATCATTTTTCACCAAGCTACCACCGCAGTTGAGACCCACCCAGGAAGGACTAACCCCCAGACATCGTTTGGCATCACTTGTGGCACTGTGTGCACTAGTGCGCACGGTGACCGCCTCTCTGGCATGCCATGGACGCGAGCTGGATGGTTTCTAGCTCGGGCCCCTTGAGGGAGTCCAGGATAAGGGGGTATCCGGACAGCCGGACTATATACTTTGGCCGGACTATTGGACTATGAAGATACAAGATTGAAGACTTCGTCCCGTGTCTGGATGGGACTCTCCTTTGCGTGGAAGGCAAGCTTGGCGATTCGGATGTTAGATCTCCTTCTCTATAACCGACTTTGTGTAAC